GAAGGCCGAGGGCCTGTGAAGAAGGGCCGAGGGCCTGTTAAGAAGGGCTGAGGGCCTGTTAAGAAGGGCCAAGGGCTTGTTAAGAAGGGCCGAGGGCCTGTTAAAAAGGGCGGAGGGCTTGTTAAGAAGGGCCGAGGGCCTGTTAAGAAGGGCCGAGGGCTTGTTAAGAAGGGCCGAGGGCCTGTGAAGAAGGGCCGAGGGCTTGTTAAGAAGGGCCGAGGGCTTGCTAAGAAGGGCCGAGGGCCTGTGAAGAAGGGCCGAGGGCCTGTTAAGAAGGGCCGAGGGCTTGTTAAGGGCCGAGGGCTTGTTAAGAAGGGCCGAGGGCTTGCTAAGAAGGACCGAGGGCCTGTTAAGAAGGGCCGAGGGCTTGTGAAGAAGGGCCGAGGGCCTGTTAAGGAAGGCCGAGGGCCTGTGAAGAAGGGCCGAGGGCCTGTTAAGAAGGGCCGAGGGCCTGTTAAGAAGGGCCAAGGGCTTGTTAAGAAGGGCCGAGGGCCTGTTAAAAAGGGCGGAGGGCTTGTTAAGAAGGGCCGAGGGCCTGTTAAGAAGGGCCGAGGGCTTGTTAAGAAGGGCCGAAGGCTTGTTAAGAAGGGCCGAGGGCCTGTTAAAAAGGGCCGAGGGCTTGCTAAGAAGGGCCGAGGGCCTGTGAAGAAGGGCCGAGGGCTTGTTAAGAAGGGCCGAGGGCTTGTGAAGAAGGGCCGAGGGCTTGTTAAGAAGGGCCGAGGGCCTGCTAAGAAGGGCCGAGGGCCTGTGAAGAAGGGCCTAGGGCTTGTTAAGAAGGGCCGAGGGCCTGCTAAGAAGGGCCGAGGGCCTGTGAAGAAGGGCCGAGGGCTTGTTAAGAAGGGCCGAGGGCCTGTGAAGAAGGGCCGAGGGCTTGTTAAGAAGGGCCGAGGGCCTGTGAAGAAGGGCCGAGGGCTTGTTAAGAAGGGCCGAGGGCCTGTGAAGAAGGGCCGAGGGCCTGTGAAGAAGGGCCGAGGGCTTAAGGGCTGAGGGCTTGTTAAGAAGGGCCGAGGGCCTGTGAAAAAGGGCCGAGGGCTTGTTAAGAAGGGCCAAGGGCCTGTGAAGAAGGGCCGAGAGCTTCTTAAGAAGGGCCGAGGGCCTGTTAAGAAGGGCCGAGGGCTTGTTAAGAAGGGCCGAGGGCCTGTGAAGAAGGGCCGAGGGCTTGTTAAGGGCCGAGGGCCTGTGAAGAAGGGCCGAGAGCTTGTTAAGAAGGGCCGAGGGCTTGTTAAGAAGGGCCGAGGGCCTGTGAAGAAGGGCCGAGGGCCTGTGAAGAAGGGCCGAGGGCCTGATAAGAAGGGCCGAGGGCCTGTTAAGAAGGGCCGAGGGCCTGTTAAGAAGGGCCGAGGGCCTGTGAAGAAGGGCCGAGGGCTTGTTAAGAAGGGCCGAGGGCCTGTGAAGAAGGGCCGAGGGCTTGTTGAGAAGGGCCGAGGGCTTGCTTAGAAGGGCCGAGGGCCTGTGAAGGAGGGCCGAGGGCCTGTGAAGAAGGGCCGAGGGCCTGTGAAGAAGGGGCGAGGGCATGTGAAGAAGGGCCGAGGGCTTAAGGGCCGAGGGCTTGTTAAGGGCCGAGGGCCTGTGAAGGACCGAGGGCTTAAGGGTCGAGGGCCTGTGAAGAAGGGCCGAGGGCTTGTTAAGAAGGGCCGAGGGCTTGCTTAGAAGGGCCGAGGGCCTGTTAAGAAGGGCCGAGGGCTTGTTTAGAAGGGCCGAGGGCTTGTTAAGAAGGGCCGAGGGCTTGCTTAGAAGGGCCGAGGGCTTGTTAAGGGCCGAGGGCCTGTGAAGAAGGGCCGAGGGCCTGTGAAGAAGGGCCGAGGGCCTGATAAGAAGGGCCGAGGGCCTGTTAAGAAGGGCCGAGGGCCTGTTAAGAAGGGCCGAGGGCCTGTGAAGAAGGGCCGAGGGCTTGTTAAGAAGGGCCGAGGGCCTGTGAAGAAGGGCCGAGGGCTTGTTGAGAAGGGCCGAGGGCTTGCTTAGAAGGGCCGAGGGCCTGTGAAGGAGGGCCGAGGGCCTGTGAAGAAGGGCCGAGGGCCTGTGAAGAAGGGCCGAGGGCATGTGAAGAAGGGCCGAGGGCTTAAGGGCCGAGGGCTTGTTAAGGGCCGAGGGCCTGTGAAGGACCGAGGGCTTAAGGGTCGAGGGCCTGTGAAGAAGGGCCGAGGGCTTGTTAAGAAGGGCCGAGGGCCTGTTAAGAAGGGCCGAGGGCTTGTTTAGAAGGGCCGAGGGCTTGTTAAGAAGGGCCGAGGGCTTGTTTAGAAGGGCCGAGGGCCTGTGAAGAAGGGCCGAGGGCTTGTTAAGAAGGGCCGAGGGCTTGTTAAGAAGGGCCGAGGGCTTGCTTAGAAGGGCCGAGGGCTTGTTAAGAAGGGCCGAGGGCCTGTGAAGAAGGGCCAAGGCTCAGGTGGAGCGGGGCTCAGGTGGAACGGGGGCGGAAGCGACCGGTCGCGTCTCTCGGTCGCCACCATTTTGCGCAGCGCGTGCCGATGGGGGCATCCATTTAGTAGGAACTCAATGGACGTGCGTACTCAATGGATGGCCCCCATGCATCTTCCCTCCCTTTTGCCGTTTTGAAACCAGCTTGAGGGTCCCCCCCCCCCCCCAATGAGGTGTCCCCCCCCCAATGAGGTCCCCCCCCCCCCAATGAGGTCCCCCCCCCACGAGGTCCCCCCCCCAATGAGGTCCCCCCTCCCCCAATGAGGTCCCCTGCCCAATGAGGAGATCTCCCCCCCCCCCTGCCCATGAGGAGGTCCCCCAAGGAGCGTCCCGAGGCCACTGCTGCTCGTTGTGAGGCCCACGTGTTTCTGCTCGTCGTGAGGCCCACGTGTTGCTGCTCGTTGTGAGGCCCACGTGTTTCTGCTCGTTGTGAGGCCCACGTGTTGCTGCTCGTTGTGAGACCCACGTGTTTCTGCTCGTTGTGAGACCCACGTGTTGCTGCTCGTTGTGAGGCCCACGTGTTTCTGCTCGTTGTGAGGCCCACGTGTTGCTGCTCGTTGTGAGGCCCACGTGTTGCTGCTCGTTGTGAGGCCCACGTGTTGCTGCTCGTTGTGAGGCCCACGTGTTTCTGCTCGTCGTGAGGCCCACGTGTTGCTGCTCGTTGTGAGGCCCACGTGTTGCTGCTCGTCGTGAGGCCCACGTGTTGCTGCTCGTCGTGAGGCCCACGTGTTGCTGCTCGTTGTGAGGCCCACATGTGTCTGCTCGTTGTGAGGCCCACTTGTTTCTGCCCCGAGAGTCCTCTACGCGTGCGTGATTCCGTGTGCTCGCTGCGCCGCCGCTTGGTAGTCGAGGTGGTCGACACGACGGTGCCGCTGTTGGTTGTGGGCTCCCGTCCCCCTTCGCCGGCGTCAAAGTGAGCAGCGTTGCCGAGGCCGAGGTTATAGCCAGTGTTATCATATTGACTCCACACATTCAGCAAAGGGATTGGTTTAATATTTAGCCGGCAAATTGTCACGCACGCTCTCGCTATCCAGAACGCGCCCGAGTGTGGAATGTGTGTTGAGCGAACTTGCTTATTTATTGCTCTCAATCCAGGCTCGACTTGAAACCTATTATAGAGCCCCAACTCCTTACAACTCATGCCGAGGGCCTGTTAAGAAGGGCCGAGGGCCTGCTAAGAAGGGCACACGCACGGCACCGAGGGGGACAGCGTGTGGTGCATGCTGTCTGTCGACTGTGCCGACTAATGTAACTGATGAGAGACGTATTCTTAGCTCTTTCGGTAAAGTCACGTTGAAGGGAAACCGTTTGTGTTATGGTCGAAACGTAGTGAGAATCTTTTTATATATATTTTATTACTTTATTGTTTCCCTTCAACGTGACTTTACCGAAAGAGCTAAGAATATGAATTGCTGCAGTCACGAAAGCTTTAAATCAAAATTCATGGTGAGAGACGCTAGAGATGAAACTGCTGCAGGGTGTTGCTCGTCTTGACAACGCTGCCGAATGTTCGCGCTCGCAGAGGGCTGTGGTGGCGGCTGATGGGTTGTGTAAGGCGTTTATTATATTTTTTATGTGAAAAGACGAATACGAGGGCGACGTCTGCTTATTTATTTTGTTATTTATATTCTCCCCAATGACGCAAATAATTATTGAGTTTTGTATATACACAGTTTAAGGGTTATCTCAAACAATACGGTTACCTCAGGGCACTCTTCTCAAACTAAACAGCGTTCAATATGAATCTGTAAATAGACGGCTAAACAATATTCTCCTGACAAGAGGCGTTCGGACTCTCGTAACTACACTGGCTTTAGGGACGGTTTGCTCTATATCATAAACAACAATGATCGCGATGACGACACGTGTTATTTCACCACATCTCAGAAGCTAATCAGGTCTCAGCCTGGATAGCGCTTTGTGACCAAATCGCTTTTAAAGCAATTGTGTTGATATTGGCTTCTGAGGTGGCAACGTTGTGGACAGCAAAACCCGTAGTTGTGCCCGTGGTTGTATGAGCTCACCATCTTGACGAACCCACACTCACCTGGTGTGGCAGCTGAGCAGACTGCACAGATGAGGATGCACATGACGTTAGTGGTTATCCATGGAGGGCCACCGCTCCCATCATCGATCACCACCGCAACATCGATCACCACCGCAATCATCGATCACCACCGCGATCATCGATCACCAGGTGTTAGGGGCAACCCGTTTGAGCAGAGCAACCGCAGGGCTGCGTCTGGACTCTTGGCCTGTATTTACTTACGTAATTTCTAAATGCACCCGTAGCAAACCGGGATTTTAAAGTAATTGAGTATCTTAAATAAGCAGACAACGCACCTCAACATTTCCATACCTCCACATATGTTTGTTTTATAGCTCTCATCAGTGAGAACTGTTTGCGCGTGCGTAACTTCAGCATTGGGTTCAACGCAAACTTTAGACCAGCTTCGACATTCGGGGTCTCATCAGCAGAGTCGGGTTGATTTGAACCAACGCTGGTGAACTGCCAGGTGTTCATAGGCAAAAGGACCTTCGCTTAAATACGAGCGCTGATTCCCTCCTCCTGATCCTCGCCCCGGCAGGTTGCGCCCCGTCCACGGAGGCCGAGTTCGTGCTGCTGCTGGAGGCGACGCGGGGCCTGGACGAGGCCGACTCGCGCCTGGTGCTGTCCTTCGCGTCGGCCCTCGCGGGGGCCTTCCCGCTGGGCGCCGCGACGCGCGTGGCCCTGGTGCTGTACGGCGCAGCGGCGCGCACCCGCGTCGCGCTGGGCGCCGAGACGCGGCACGCGCGGCTCGCCAACCTCATCCTCGGTCAGCCCCTGCAGCAGGAGGGACCCCCCAATGCCGGTGAGGGTGCGCAAGGGGACCACCAGCGCCCTGCTACACACACCCGGCAGCACGCTGCAGGGAGTCGACGTGGGCCAGGAGGCGTTCGATCGGTGCGGTTTCCCCCACCCCCCCCCCCCACATCCTTCTAACCCAGTGTAAGTCATCTTCTGATCCATTAAGTTATAATCGTATCATGGAATGCAGCCTGCACACATTTGCCACCTTTCCTCAGCTACCTGCATGGACTTTTACTTTCAACCACACTCTACTATAATGGAAATTAAATAATATATAACTATATATTACTTTAACTATACAACATCTGCCATGTACCATATCATCATGGGAACTCCTTTGCCAGTACCAAAATATGAGGTTTTTCCCTTTTTTCTGGCAACAAAACAGGTGTTGAGATGTTAAAACACCAAACTGAAACCTTTTACAAGGAATCATGTCTGCATTGACCACATTATTTGTGGCCAGAATGCAAACAATGCAGACATGATTCCTTGTAAAAGGTTTCAGTTTGGTGTTTTAGCATCTCAACACCTGTTTTGTTGCCAGAAAAAAGGGGAAAACCTCCTCCACGGCCTCCCCACGTCCCTCATCTCCAATCTCCAGAGGAACCAAAACATTGGACTCACTGTCTCTGAGACCACTCACCGCTCATCTCGCGCTACTCTCCTCCACTGTCTGCTCCATAAAACAAGAATTGCTATCAAAGCCCAAGATCAACCTTCGCTCAGTGGGAGGTTGCTTCTTCTCTTCTGCTGCCCACATAATCTGGACGTCCGTTCCCCCAGCCAACAATACTGTCGACTCTCTGCCTCTTATTCAAGTCCAGGCTTGAGACCTCTTCTCCTCTGCCTATGACCGGCTGCCCCTGCCTACGAAATAAATTCACCCATAGCATCTTGACACGCAGTGGCATTTCCCAGCTCTCTAAATCCACATCGCGCCGCGTGCTTTGCGTAATACGAATTCCGTGCGTGCGTGCGTGCAGGTGAGGCACTGCGGCACAGCCTGGACACGCTGCTGGGCCCCACGTCTCCCGCGCGCCCCACCGCGGCGCGCCTCCTCGTGCTGCTCGCACGCAGCGCGTCGCACGACGACGACGTCGCCGGCGCAGCCGCGGCGCTGCACGAGGCGGGCGTGGACGCGTTCGCCGTGGGTGCGTGCTCCTTCGTCTCGGTCCTGGTCCGAGATCGGACGGGAATCTGCGCGTGGTCAGGGAGGCTTGCTTCAACGCCCCGGCAGCTCGAAGTCCCTTAACATCGTAACCTCGCTCGGCTAGACCATTCTAATGCCATGCTCCGGTCTGGCCTGTGAGACCCCCGGTGGCGCTGTCCCCGTGTGGAACAAGGTGTACGCAGCGCCGGCCTGCAAGTAGGCGTAGGTAGTGCCAGATTAAGCTAGTGCGGGGCCTGTAGCATATGTTATCAAGGGGCTCTAAATAAAAAAAAAACACGTAAATATTAAAACACATATTTTACTTGCATAGTAAAGTAATTGTATTTTTTCATTTGCTATACAGCCAGATAATACGACAAATAGCTAACTTTAAACACCAAGTCGTTCATAAAAGTTGAAGGCGGTATAGTACTATAGTAATAGAGCAATTGCAGAATCACTGAACCGGAATTGATAGCTTGAAAGCATTTAGCGCGGGGCCCTTGAAAGTGCGGGGCCCGTAGCATATGTAGCTACTTTTGCTACTAGGATAATCTGGCACTGGGCATAGATCGACCTTTAGGTTGTTTTACAGTTGAAGACAACCTGGAGAAGTTTGGTCCAGGCTCGGTCTGTGGATTTAATTATCTTAATTCAGTCGAGGGAAACCGTTCAACATTTGGTCCCCTGGTGATTATTCAATGTTGGTATACATTTATACATCGCCAGTATTTGAACATTCTCTTGGTCGCTGATAAATTGTACGAGGTGGCACTTAGCTAGTAGCCGCAGCGATAGCAAGAGATGTATACTGGATGTGGTGTGCTGAAATTACAAGCGCTGCCTGTGGCTCCTTCTAAACGGCCTTAGACCAAATCATTGGGGTTGCCACCCGATCTCGTCGGTTGTCGGGAGGCCACACAGACCCCGCCACACGAATGCGTGGCGGGGCCCGGCGTGGCTGTGTGCATCATTGCCCTGGCGGTGCGGGGGGGACTAAGCGAGCGGTCGCTGTGCGCAGGGCTGCCGGGAGCCGTCGCCAGCCAACTGCGCCTGGTGGCGTCGCAGCCGGAGCACCTGCTGATCGTGGCTGGCACCGCGGAGCTGCCCCATGCCCTGCCCCGCCTGGTGGCCCTGCTGTGCGCGAGCGCCGAGGCCCAGATGGCTCTGCTGCGCCAGGGAGACGTGGGTGAGTGGAGGCGCGGCCCTTCCGCGGCGTGCCACGTGCCGTCAATCACCTGTCATCGCCTCACATCACGCACACATTTTTTTTTACGAGCCGCAGTATTTTTTTTATTGTTTCCATAAAAGAAGATTCCCGCGTTATATCACAGGTATTTTTGGCCGAGCGAAGTTTATTACGTGAGAAACATTTCATTCGTCCAGTCAGCGGAGAGCGTCGCATCCTGGCAGGGATTGGGCTCTAGGACGGCTCCACAGAGCTAAATAGATCTCATCAATCTTGATTTGAAGATCTCACCATTCGCATAATCAACACCACCTTGATCACAGAGAAATAGCAGACACTTTGGGCGAGAGCCCTTCTTCAGAGTCCACTTAACTACAACTGCCCGCTCCTATATATTTTGTGCGGAGTGGTTTTCTGCGAGTCAATCGTCTAATATAGTGGTGACCCATTTAGAGATACCCTATGAAAATACTCGAGAGCAATTGAGGAGAAATCGACATGTTCATTTCACAGCCTCTAAATGTCTCATGCCGCTGTCAGTGTGCATATGAACGCTGTTGACACCATGTGACTGATACCCCCATGCAGAGCCACCGATTCAGGTGCACGTGTCGGAGGTGACGTCGCGCTCGCTGCGCATTAGATGGGCGCTCCCCGCGGGCCCCGTCTCGGGCTTCCGCGCGGTGTGCGTCGCCGCGGGGGGCCCCGGGAGCAACGGCGTCCCCGCGGGCGGCCTCCCGCCCGTCGCCGGCGGCGGCATTCAAGAGCAGACGCTGGGCGCGCGCGACACGACGGCCGTGTTCCGTGGGCTACGCTCGGACACGGAGTACCGTGTCAGCGTCTACTCCCTGCAGGGCCGTGCGCTCAGCGCGCCCGAGACGCGCACCACACGCACCAAGAGCACCAAGGTCACCGTGGGTGAGTGCGGCGACGGCACTCGCGCGGCGCTCGTGCAGCAAAATCAATTGTTGCACCGTACTTGCCATGCTCCCCACCTTCACCAACGCGCACGAACCCGTGTGCTCAAATGTGGCCAAATAACCCCCAGGACCTGCACGGCTTGGAGGAGTCCCTCATCCAGCAGTGGATTGGCACTAGGGCCGTGCGCGCGCGTTGCGCGCGTGTGCGTTGACCGTGGCCTCCGCGCGGTTCTGACGCAACTCATTCGCCTCGCCGCAGAGTGCACGTCGTACGTGGAAGTGCGGGCCGACGTCGTCTTCCTGGTCGATGGTTCCTACAGCATCGGCTTGGACAACTTCGCCAAAGTTCGCTCGTTTCTCGACGTGCTCGCCAAGACGTTCGACGTGAGCCCAACTAAGGTGCGAGTTCTCCTTCACCCTCCCCCATTTCGTCGCGTCTCTCTGCACGTTCGCTTGAATAACGGGTGCAGCAATTATGTACGCGCAGATTTTCATGTCATGGTGGTGGATTGTGGGTGATTAGGTGATTGATTAATTAACCGTAAACAGATACAACTGAAAGAGTATTTTGGGCCTGTGATTTTGTCGGTTCTCTTGGCCAATGTTTCTCACTCTGCTGATGGAACTCAGAAATATGCGTTGAGATTATTTAGATGATTTGGCTGCTGTAACTTTCTCCATGATAAGCCACTGTGTTGAGCTATCATTTGTGGCCAGTTCACTTTTGAAAAAGAAGATAAAAGCTCAGTGGGCTTTACCTGCTCAAATAAAAATATTTCAGTTAAATTGCTTAGTGATTTCCTTACCTTACCTATACTTTGCACTCCTATCGTGTTTGTACTGTCATTGTAACTTTCCGACTCGCCGCTACTATACATCTGTGAAAAATAATTTTATAGCTCATCGGATTCCTCAACTATTAATACAGATTCTGATTCTCAAAAGGTCAAAGCCAGCCCAGCGTTTGAAAGGCTTAAACTAATTTGGTTTGAAATAATGGTCACAAAAAATGTTCCCCAGACACGTTTTTCAGCTGCCTGAAGTGTCAGGACACCTGGCTGACAGTACAGTATTGAATACCCATATGACTGGTCCTCCATCTGCCTGTTGTGGGGGCCTGTGAAGATTGCACAGTGGCTTGCAGATATGCGTGTATGTGTGGTGTTCATGTGAAAGGTTTAGGTAAATTGATCCAGACCAGAATACTATTTGTGCAAAAGACAGAGCAGTTTTTTTCACGGTTGCACTGCATAGATCTATGACGCACGTTCGGGTTGTACCGACGTCTGGTCTTTCGTTTCGTTCCACGTGCTGGGACCTTCTTCGGGAAACAGTGCTGTTCAACACTTTAGTTCGTTCGTCAAGCGCGCAGACGTTGAGCGAAACGTCGGACGTCGTGCCGAACTACATGTAGCAGCTGCGTGTCTCTAACACGTCATAGCGCTGCTTTTTTGTTGATTCACCCGTTAAAACTATCAAACTATATTTATTTCGCCAGATAAAGGCCCACTGAGCTATGTAGCTGTTTTTTAGAAGTGACCTGGCCGCAAATGATAGCTTAATAAAGTGGCTTATCGTGTGGAAATTTAGAGCAGCAAAACACTCTAAATGCATGTTTCTAAAGGTGGAGGGAAAACGGGAGGAGCCGGAGAAAATTCCACGCGACCACGGGGAGAACATACAAACCCAAAATATACAGCAGGCGTCAAGGTCGGGATCAAACCCACGACCTCCTGTGTACCAGACGAGGTAGTTAACATCTCGCCACCATGGCGCCCGTTCGCCGCGGTAGGAGGGCGAGGCCCAGCCCAAACAATTGTCTTAGCTCCGGTTTTGCTCCCCGTCGGCCCGTGTGCACACATCGTCCACGTTTAATCAAGGTAGCGTCGCACGGCTTGACGGGGTTGGGGGGGGGGAGAGAAGCGGGGTGAACTTCACGAGAAGGGGGACAGGATGGCGCTGCGCATTTCCGCACGTGGACGTGTAGCAGTGAGCCTCGTCGTGTCACGCTGCTGCGCATCTGTGTTGCCGACTCAGCACATCGCCGTGTGTTTGGCTCTGACAGAACAGAGTGTTTGAGAACATCGCGTCGTAGCTGTGTGTGTCTGTGTACGTCCGGGCACAGTGCTATGTGTGGTGTTTGTTTCAGCAAGGCAGTGTATGGCTGAGCACGTCAGCTCAGTGCGATGTGTTTGTGTGTCTCTTTGTGTTTCATCGTGTTGCTATGACAATGTGTAACCGCCATTGTCCTTTCGCTTGTTATTCTGAATTCTCGTGTGTTTTTGTACTTTGCTGTGCCCTTGTCCGTGTGCTGCGTCCCAGCATGGTGCAGTGGATAGCAATGTCTCCCTGGTGCATCTCCTCGCCACGTTTTTCGCGTGTCTGTTGGGATTTTATGTGAAATGCGTGCGATTACGTACGTTGCTTTTGGAGTTGTTGCCGCGGTGAAATGGTTCACATCCTGGATCATCAAGATTTTTAAATCCTTTCTCCGTCTCTGTCCACCCAGCAGAATGAATGAGAATACCACAGTTAGTCGAACGGCAGGTTACGTGTGGTGGGGTAAAGTTATGGTATTCCCAAGACGTCCAGCCAGCATGGAAGAGTAGGCCAAAACACCACTGTGCAGGGCCTCTCCACTGGAGCTACCTCCAGTGGAGGCCCTTCCTCCAGGAGTGGAGCGAGCAAGAGCTTCCAGGGCTGCATCTTTACCTTTGCACTAGTTGCTGTAAGCCGCATCGGTGTGGCTTCTGCAATGTCACGTCAGAAGGCCTCCACACGTCCACCCGTGAACGAGCGCGTTCGTGACCTCGAATGCTTCGTCAGAACATATCCATGGGCCGCATACCGAGCCTGCGAGGGGAGACCACGGCGGGAGCGTGGAGGCGTCGTGAGACAACTGGTGCCCGCGGGACGCGCGGTCGTGCTGTGGCGATCGCTATCCAAGCGGCCGTGTGCTCGACTCATTCCCTGGGGGGACTCCCGCCCTCTCGTGTAAACTCGGCGCGCTCTCTGTCGGTGCGATGCCTAGGATGATGTCATGGCCACGTTAGCTCTGAGTGTGGGGCGGCCTTCGCTCGGACGAGGTGCACTGTGCTAGGATGAGGTGCGCTGTGCTAGGATGAGGTGCGCTGTGCTCGGATGAGGTTCGCGGTGCTAGGATGAGGTGCGCTGTGCTCGGATGAGGACCTTGACAGGAGGACGAGTTGGTCAAGTTTTTATTTTTGCTTACACACGTGCCACCTTTTTTGCACAAATCTTCCACTCACAATTACGGTCGCATGTTTTATCCAGGATGGCCTCGCTTGCCCTCACAACCCTCATGGTCACCCGTGTGGGGAAGTTGAGCTTTGTGTGCGGTCTCACCTGGAGAGCCAACGCAAGATGTCGGCATGTGCTGTTACATTAATAAAGTGAAGGGAAATGTCTATGAAACAGGATTTCAAACCTTTTGTATTAATATGTATTATTACAGAGTTTATTCCACATGTGCTATCGGCATTATGTGATGAGAATCAATTGAGAGCTCCCAGAGCAGTGCATCCCATGTGCTAGACGTTGGCTTCCACATGACTTAAAAATCTGTCAAATTGCCGTTTTAGTTTTCAAGCTAGAAGGATATCTCTTTTCTTCATAACCCTGCTAAGAGATTGTCTGTTGCATGACAGTAAAACAAATATTTTAAATTCTCATAGCTGGAATTTAGTCTAATCAACTTCAGAATAAACGTTAACACGATATTTTTGAAGGAGTTATTGGTGACCAGGATGAGACCATTAATTCTCTACGCCTGAGAATCCAGGTTTGATCTCAGCGGTGCAAAGCTCAGCCCTCTAATTTCTGAGCCACCTGAGTTTCACAATAATCGGTTTAGCCACCAACGTGTCCTTGCGCTCACAGCGTGATTGAGCACTCCAACCGGGGAGTCACTCAGCCCGAATTTCAGTTGAGCGGTACAGCAAGCCACTGCGAAGTCTTCGGCAGTTCCTAAGCCACACGGTCAAACCGCACGACCGCCAAACATTTCAGTGTCCGTCCCAGCACGGCTGTCGTCACGTCCACTCAGGGCGTTTTCATCGCCTAAGTTCCACGGCCTGGGTCGTTATCGTGACCCCCTGGCCGCTGTGGTCCTGTGCGGTTGCAGCCGTCTCACCGCCCGTCATGCAATGCAAACGGACTGCAACGGAATCGCCCATTATGCAGATATTGGCCAATTTGAAAAGTTTATGGTTAACTTTGAGCTGGCACAACTGAGTGAGAATCGATACGATTAACCTCGATTCACGATCCACGGGACCATATGTTGGGCAAAGAAACGGCCCCTTTGGGCAACACCACGCCTTCTTTATTCCACATATGGGGCAAATCTCTGATCGGTGATTTTGTCGGGTGTCCGCTTTTATCGTGTTACAGCGCCGTTGTCTCCGCCCGGTCTCTCGTGGCCACTGCTGTGTGGCGATGGCGGTCATCCCTGACGTGTCCTCGGCAATGCAACCCGCGTCTCGTTTTGATAGGCGAACAAAACTCCGTCCATCTCATTGGTCGTTTTAAGATAATGAAACAATATAAATGTTTCAGGCCGCCAGCCTGTGCGTGCACTGTCGAGCGAAATAGTTTTCCCGGCAGCACTGTTGAAGCAGTAGACCCTGGATAGGTGTCCACTTTCAGAGTCTTATCAGCAGAGTGGTCCAGCAGGCTCTTATGCTGATGGATTAAAATATTATTTGATTACTGTTTACATAATGAGAAAGTGTCATGTCTATTAATCATTGTATTATCCACAATACAACACAACAGGACTATTTTTGCTCTGCTTTCTAAATAATTGTGGCGTTTTTAATTATTGTGTCTTTTCAAACACTCGTGTTTCTTCGCTTGCATCACCCAGCTTATTCCAAGCAAATGCTATTTTCAGACTCGTTTGTCTTGATGTCAAATTTGTCCAAAGACTATTTACTCCAGAGGGTTTTGATCCTGCCATGAACCGCTATTGGCTGTCTTTTCTTTGTCCACATCTTACCGTGGAAATGTGTTTTGAGTGAAGTGTTTTTTATTGTCTATATTTAGGAAAGGCAGATTGTAACTGCGCTCGCCTGCGCCGACCGTCAATGCGTTGTGATGATCCGTGCTGAGAAGTTGTCACAGCCTACAAAGGCCTCCGCTGTGCTCCCCTGACAGTGACACTGATCAGCGTTGAGAACTCGTCTCGCTTCACTCGCTCTGAGCTCACGTTCATCCCACACGCCGACTCCAAGGCTTTCATTGCACAAAACGACCGCACAATGCCCGTAATTTGACTCGCCGCGATGTCATCACTGCCATGTGCGGCGAGTTTTGTCAATCCACCGTTGGGTGAGGACCGCTTCACTCCGTGCAGGTCGTATGGGTTATTTGACCATACTTCACCGTGCTAGCCCGCTATTCAGTCTCTCGTGCTATTCATGCCTGTGATGTTTGTTTTTGCCTTGTGACTGATGAGAGGCTATGACTCTGTGATTCTGCCCCTCGTGTTAACAACGCCGAGAGCGACCGTGCGTGCGTCTGTCCAGGTTGTCGCATTTTTCACGTCACGATAAATTGGGTTCACGTCGCCTCTGGCGGACTCTCTTCTATAGGTCCCAGGAATGGGTGTCGCTCTCATCGAATGTCATCCGGCCGAACGGTAGCGTTCACAAAATTGTCCAGTTCATCACGGCAAACCTAACATTTTGGGGGTTCCTAAGACGGCACGTCTGAATCGTCACTTGGCAAAAACCGCTACGCCGCATACCGCTTGGCGCAACACGTTGAAACGGCGAGGTGCCCGAGACTAAATGGTAGCTAGGAGATGTTAACTACCTCGCCAGGTATACAGGAGGTCGTGGGTTCGATCCCGACCCTGACGATGCCTGCTGTATATTTGGAGTTTGCGTGTCTCTCTCCCTGTGGTCGTGCAGATTTTTCTCCAGGCCCTCCGGTTTTTCCCTCTACATTTAGAATCGACGTATTTGGCTCTAGAAATTTCCACACGATAAGCCACTTCGTTGAGCTATTATTTGTGGCCAAGCTGCTTCTGAAAAAGATCTATGTAACTCAGTGGGCTTTACCTGGTAAAATATAAATGTAAGTGTTTTTAGTTTTAGTTAAAAACATGAGCTGCAGGAAGTCAAGAAGATGAAGCTCCTTTGCAGTGGAAGGAAGCCATTGGGGCAGTGACGTGGCCACTCTTTGCAGAGGTTCCCTGCTCGAGCCCGGTGGCTGTCCTGGTTAATACTTTGGGAGTAATAACCAACAACGCTCGCAATGTGACCCGCAGGTGCGGCTCGGCCTGGTGCAGTATTCCCGCGAGCCTGTGCTGGAGTTTGCGCTGGACAAACACACGACAAGGGAGGCCATCCTGGAGGCCCTCAAGAACTTCCCTTATCGCGGCGGCTCCACCAACACCGGGCGCGCCATGACCTACGTGCGGCAGCGAGTGTTCGTACAGGCCGCCGGCGCCCGGCCTGATGTCCCGCAGGTAACTCCTGTCCCAGCGCCATCGCTGAGTGAGTTCTGTGTTGAGCGCGGTGAGCGTGATCCCTGAATGAGGCATGTGGTGAGTGAGTGTGGTGAGCATGGTGGCGAGATGTTAACTCCGTCGTCTGGTATGGAGGATGTCGTGGGTTCCATTCTGACCCTGACGCCTGTGTATTTGGAGTTTGCATGTTATCCCCGTGGTCGTGTGGATTTTTCTCTGGGTCCTCCAGTTTTCCCCCCACATTTAGTTTAGAGCATTTGACTGCTATAAATGTCCACGTGATAAGCCACTTTGTTGAGCTATCATTTGTAGCCAGGTCGCTTCTGTAATAGAGCTTTGTTTCTCAGTGGGCCTTAACGGGTAAAATAAAAAAAAGTGTATTAATAGGTGGGTGTGATTCCTGATCGAGGTGTGGAAACAAGTGATGATATGGAAAACACGAGAGAGATAAAGGAGGGCATGGACACTCAGGAGTGGATGATGATAGGTGGACCAGAGCCAGGAGGGCACGGGGCAGCCAGAGAGAGGGAAACGAACCATGGACCGATAGCAGGGTGAGGGTAGTGAGAAATACGATCTGGTAGACTCACCTGGGATCCCAAAAAAAATACGCCTCCTTCACATATACCGTTACATTACAATTGAAAAGTAATTGTTTTACACATTTCATCAGCAACACGGCCTTCTGGGAGTACGTGATGGTTTAAAATAACAAGTCGCAAACCTTTATCGGAATTAGGACGAATTTGTAACGATCTTATACTTATGTACGTTTCTCGCCCGCGGTGTGGAATTTGCGGAGCGATAAATCATCATCGGCCCATTGCATTATCGCTAAGGGGTAAAAAAACATCAACGGGGTGGGGGCAATAATTGCCGAGGCCTCCGCCCGCGCGCTGCCGAGGAATGTGCAGAATCAGACGCGGGTTTCATGCGGCCCCCGGGCAGCATCGAGGCGCCTCCTGCTCCTTCGCGCGACGGCGCTCACGCATTTTGCCCCCAATGCACGGCATTGGGGAAAAGCGCGCGGGCGTTCACCCCCTCCATGGCGATAACGCGGGAGGTTTTGAGACGTTCGAACGCCAAATAGACACACCGATTGCAAGTCGTCAAGTCTGCATTCGCCAGGCATGCTCGTGGTAAAACGTGCAAGCAGACATGCTTTGATAATGTACGCATTGTCCTTGGAACTGATTGGCCTACAACAGAGACAGCCTCCTTTATGGCCTTGTCTCGCCCAGTGTTAGGCCGGAGAATGCCAAAAGGCGAACAGCACAAAGGCAACGCAAACATCAAAGCATCAATAGCCCGGGTTGAGCGGTTATACCTATGGGACTCTTTTTTTGCTGTTATCAAGGTGACGAACAAAAATAGTAGGCTTCAGTCATTCCGACGCAAGTATTGTACAAAACGCGGTTACTTGATAATACACGTGGCAATAATGTGACCACCGCGGCTTAACGCGCTTGGTAATTTACCGCTAGAGCCGCCGCAGTAAATCACATGGCACCCCCCAGGCCCTCCAGGCTGGCTGTGGCTGGGACGGCGGTGGAATAGTTGCGGTGGAGCTCCCTCCCCCCGCCCCCACCACCTCCCCCCCCCCACAGAACGAGCCGAGCATGGCCTTGACACGTCGTCTGACCGCCCCCCTCCCCCGCCCGCCCGTGATCTCTCGTTCACGCTCAGCGAGGATGCCCCGCGGTGTCAAGTGCAACTCTCATCCCCACCTTTTGTTATTCACCCCCATCTTTGTGGTCTCTCTCTCCGTGTGCTGTGAAGCAGAAGAAGAAGAAGCAGAAGGGACCATTGCTCAAAACGTTGCCTTGTCGTGTTTCTTCTAAGGGCACATGCCGCACAGTGTTGTTGGCCAACGTGTTCAGTTTTTTTTTGCTTCAGTGCCACATGGCCTAAACCAACCTGTGCACTTTTCACGCTTGCTTACGTGATGTGTACACGCGCGGCCCATCCAGTCAATCTACTGCTGGATGAGGGCCTCCCCACGCAACATGGTCTGCGGGGGGTTATTTGACAATATTTCACCAATAAAGTACTAAAGCTTTCGTGACTGCATAAAATTACTCATTGGTTTTTTCGGTAAAGTCACGTATGTAGAAATGCAATAAAATTATATTAAAACAAAAAACAATCACGACGTTTTGATCACAACGCAAGCGATCTTCATCAGGTGTCAAGAACAAATCACGGAAGTAAATACAACAAAAAGATGAGAGACGAGAATTCAACAAACCTGAAAAAACATTATGTGAAGCACATCCAGTCAGGCCAACAACACAGTTAGACACTTCCTGGTGGACCACGAATTTCAGAAATTTCAGAAATTCGTGGTCCACCAGGAAGTGTCTAACTGTGTTGTTGGCCTGACTGGATGTGCTTCACGTAATGTTTTTTCAGGTTTGTTGAATTCTCCTCTCTCATCTTTTTGTTGTATTTACCTCCGTGATGTGTTCTTGACACCTGATGAAGATCGCTTGTGTTGTGATCGAAACGTCGTGATTGTTTTTTTAAATATAATTTGATTGTATTTCTACATATGTGACTTTACCGAAAAAAACAATGAGTAATACTTCACCACGTTGCTCAATGGAGATTGATGAAAGCGGGGAGCATAGACATTGCAGCACGGTACAGTACAACAATGAATTTTGCTGCACATCGTCTGCTGACAACATAGCCCCGCAGCAGCCCCCTGACACTTGTTTTAAGCGTGGTGGTCGCCCATCCAAGCGTTTACCAGGCGCAAGTTCTGCTTAGCTTCCGAGATCAGTCGAGAGCGGGTGCATTGCAGGCTGTGCTGCACACACGACAACGCAAGGCAAAGGCGCAGCCCTGCAATGGCTCGCTGTCGCCGCATCTGGAGGAGGGGCCTCCAATAGAGGGAGCTCTAGAGAGCCCCCTCTGTGGGTGTTTGGTCTACTCCTCCACTCTGGTTTGTACGCCTTGGAAGAGCAGGGGAGTACCCACGCTTTACTCCACCACATGTCCAACCAATGCCCGATGCTGCACCACTGAATGGGGCGATAAGCGCACATGCCGTGCTATAAACCTGGTGACCTGACTTTGATTCCCAGCCACGGCGAATGTCAGTGGCGAGTGATATCTTAAATGGTCCTGGGCTCCCCCTTCACCATCCTGCATCTACCAGTGTGGTGAAGTATGGTAAAACAACCCCATGACTGACATGGATTGACAAATAGTATCGGTCGCGAAAGCCTAACGTGTTAAACATTCTGAGTGCATCACAGGGAGATCCTTGTCAGAGGTGGGTGCTCAGCACTAAAGAAGCCCTCCACAGGCGATAACTAATTAGGTAATTAACGCTGTGAATATGTCGCACCGATAGACAAGAGCACTTTGAAACAAATTTCATTAATGAGGGAGACCTGGGGTGAAGTCAGTGAAGGAGGCGATGGACAACAGGCAGTGTAGAATAATTACAGTAAATGGTAACAATACGTCCGAATGCGAATTGCAACTGCGTGGGTGTCTGCTGTTGCGCCGCGCTGCTCTCCGACGTGTTGTCTGGATGCGCCGAGTGCCGTGTGGGCGGCGCGACGTCCGACATTCCACGCTACACGCCGGCGGCTTCTTCAGGAACGCGAGAAGCTCCCAGCACGTGGGAGACGAAACGTCGGACGTCGTGCCGCACAACACGCGGTTTTACTGTGTCCTCCACCGTGCCCATTTCCTCCCCTGCCCCTGACCCCCGCTTATAGGTGATGATTCTCATCACGGACGGGAAGTCGTCGGACGAGTTTCGGGAGCCAGCCAAGCAGCTCCGTGACTCCAACGTGGAAATCTTCGCCGTCGGAGTCAAAGGTGGGTGTACGCTCGTCGGAGGGACATTTGGACACGGGCCATCTACTCACTTGTGATGTTGTTTGTTCAGTCTCGTCAACGACAGAAGACTGGTCGTGTTGTTTATGAATCGATTCAAATATTGAACTTGAAACTCTCATATACAAGGGTGTCAAGAAAGTATCGATTGACACATGCACGGAAAACTATGAGCGGAACTCCCTGCAGGTCAGTCGGTGTGTGTGAACAGTCACGGAACGCGACCATTACCGCTCGAATCTAATTTGGAAAGGGTGGGGGGCCGAGCCTTCAACAGGGGCCACAGGTCCCCTCCAGCCTCCCTCCTTCCACCCCTCCCCCCCGACTCTACGGGGCTGACCGTCGTTCCCCCGCGCCCCCCATTCAGACGCCGTGCAGGCCGAGCTGGAGGCCATCGCCACGCCGCCCGGGGACACGCACGTCTTCACGGTGGAGGACTTTGACGCATTCGAGAGGATCGCCGCCGAGCTCTCGCAGTCCATCTGCCTGCGCATCGAGCAGGAGATCGAGGAGCGGCGGCGGCGTGAGTCCCCGTGCCCACCGCTCACTCACTCACTGACTCACTCACACTCACTCACACTCACTCATACACTCACTCACATGCTCACTCACACACTCACATACTCACTCACACACTCACTCACACACTCACTCACTCACATACTCACTCACTCACACTCACTCACATGCTCACTCACATGCTCACTCACATGCTCACTCACATACTCACACACTCACATACTCAATCACTCACACACTCACATACTCACTCACTCACACACTCACTCACACACTCACTCACTCACATACTCACACACTCACATACTCACACACTCACACACTCACTCACATACTCACACACTCACACACACACTCACTCACACACTCACTCACATACTCACACACTCACATACTCACACACTCACATACTCACTCACACACTCATCACACACTCACTCACACACTCATCACACACTCACTCACATACTCACACACTCACATACTCACACACTCACATACTCACTCACACACTCATCACACACTCACTCACACACTCATCACACACTCACTCACACACTCATCACACACTCACTCACACACTCACTCATATACTCACATACTCACTCACTCACACACTCACTCACACACTCACTCACTTGCACACTCACCCTCACACACTCACTCGCTCACACACTCGCTCACACACTCACTCGCACAGTCACTCGCACAGTCACTCACACAGTCACTCACACAGTCACCACACAGTCACTCACACAGTCACATTCACACACTCACTCACACACTGACTCACTCACACAGTCACTCACACAGTCACACTCACTCACACACTGACTCACTCACACAGTCACACTCACACACTCACTCACACACTCACTCACACACTCACTCACACACTGACTTAATCACACAGTCACTCACGCAGTCACTCACACAGTCACACTCACACAGTCACTCACTCACTGACTCACTCACACAGTCATACTCACACACTCACACAGTCACTCACTCACTGACTCACTCACACAGTCACACTCACACACTCACTCACACACTGACTCACACAGTCACTCACACAGTCACACTCACACAGTCACTCGCACACTCACTCACATACTCAGTCACTCACATGCGGGCCTTCACTTTTCACATCAAATAGAAGATTCCCCATTTAGCCTTTAACAGACTGTTAGGGCAAGTGCTGTTGGTGAGCATCTATGAAGGCCGGTAAAACACACGAGGGAGCGGGTGGCCACCGCCAAGACCGGCCACCTTTGTCTGCCCAGTACTGATGTTTACACACCATACCAGGTACTCATGTGAGGCTGAGTCGACCTAGGGGAGGTCCAGGACCGGTTCAGATAAGCGTCACCGGTGTTGGTGGCCGTGCGCAGGAATCGAACTCGGGTCGCCGGGTTTGTAGCGCAGCGTAGCGCTAACCGCTACACTACCGCTCCCAACCTTCCACATATACATGCACGTACACACATTGCCCTTCTCTCGTTCCACTGCTGGATGATGGCTTGGGTTGTCGCATGTGTCGAGTCTGTCCCGGGTTGACCTGCTGCCTTCTGCCGTAAGTTTTATGAGAGAAGACCACTTCTGGCACAAATGATGGCTTCCCTACGGGTAGAACTCAACGTGGCCTGAGGCTTCTAAAGCAAGCTAATTGTCACCTAGTGGGGGTCTGCCTTGCATTGGACAAGGGTCACCACCTGTCCTGGTTTGGCTCAGGCAGTCTGGGAATTGGCATTTGTATGGCAGGAATGTATTTTTACCAAAAGATCTGGTGGTGGTGATATTGTGTTGAACTTTATAGCCGTAAACTGCACAGTTTTGACAGACGTAGGCTGATTGAGAAATGTGTCCTGGTTTTGTCTACAGTGGAACAGGTGGCAGCTCCCATGACAGCCTCCTCACAGTGAGGGTATTTTCCTTCGTTGGAAGAATTCTGGAACTGTCTTCTGGAACTATCTTCGTTAAACGCCTACAGACGTTGCACTGTTCACAGTCGTCTGCAAATAAAATAATTTTCATCTAGTAACTTGGCCAGTGGAAGCGCATCGCTTTTGTAAATCCACTGCTGGATGAGAGCCTCTTTCTAACCAGCGGGTCATTAGGGTTATTTGACCATACTTCTTCACCAAGCTAGTCTGTTATGTGTTGCCAAGGCGGTGAGCATAGATGTGGCAGTATCGTACAGTACAACAGCGCAGTTTGCTGCACTGTCCTTCGCGGCCCACAACATAGCCCCATAGCAGCCTTTAACACCTGTTCTAAGCATAGTCGTCGCCCATCCAAGCGCTAACCAGGCTCGACCTCGCTTAGCTTCCAAGGTCTGACTTGTACTCGATTTGCGCCACTATAGTGCTCATCAGAAAGCAACCGGCGTTTATTCATTTGCCAAGGAGAATCAATCTATCAGTCTAAGCCAGCACAAACTCCCTGAGTCCCAATGAAATAACCAATAAGAGGATAGATACAGCACTGACGGTCATTCTCTTGAATGGGGGGGGGGCGCTTTGTACAAATTGTGCATGCGTAGCCGACGTTCAAGTTACGAAATTCGAACTTTATTTTTCGCTGATCGACAAACTTTGTGCACGCGGGGTTCCTCTCGGTGACTATTGGGTAGCGCGCTCAGAGGAGGAGAGGATTCATTTTGTCCTCTATTGAAGAGACGCGTCGCGTCCCGTCGCTCTGCGTGGCGTAATCTCGCCTCCCGCTCGCCCCCCCCCGCCATGCTCCCGTGGGGCGGTGACTTTAAGCTACGGTCTACTCTGTGGGTTTTTTCTCCCTGGATAATTGTTTTCTTCCTGTGATCATAAATACAAAAAACAAGCTGCCCAAACCATGCCTGTAAGTGGGCTTTGGCAATAAAATTAAAGGTACGACGCGAGCATGATGAGCGCAGCATGCGGTCGGTTGGCTCACGGCAGCGCAGTTCCCAGAGCCCACTGCTAGCCACAGACGGGAGGCCAAGATTGGAAAGCCCTTCGTGGTTTTTTTGGTCATTAAACTCAGACGCTTGAGAAGGAAAGCGGCGATTCCTCTCGTAGAAGAGACGTGCACTGTTTGCCAGACGTCTGTCCTGCGGGTGAGCCACGTTTGGCCACGTGCGTGAAGCAGGCATTAGCGGAGTTGCTCATTTGGACACAGCACCCAACCCTGTGCACACGGGAAGCTGTGCATTGTCACAGACGACAGAGGGCACATAATAATAATAATAACAACAACAATCATGCATGTGTTTATGTTGTGCAAATTGAGCCTTGAAAAGCACAGTCTTCACTTGTGACCCTACGGTGGGGGTAGGGGAAGATGGGCACTCATCGTCATCATCGCGATCCATGGGCAAATAGCCCATAGGTGTTCACTGTACATTTCGACATGTGTTTCCGCTGCCGTCTGTCATGTGCCAGTATAGTCAAGTAGTGCACATCTTTCAGGCACCTATCTCTTATGTCGTTGTCCAGCCATTCTCTGTGAGGTCTTCCTCTCTTTCCAGTTCATTCCATTTTGTTGTCCATTCTACATACGTGTCAAAATAGTGCCACTTTCCTTATCACTGCCTGCATCCACGTCTACTTTTATAGTGCTACCTTGTTCTTACGTCTACATTGGCCACTCTATGGGCACTCACAGTGAAACATATTCTTGGTTCTTTCGGTAAAGTCACGTGAATAAGAGCTTTTATTATTTTAAATGTTAAGTCAACATTTCACGGTGAAACAATTTGTGGGGGTGCCTGCAATTTCCAGGCTCATCCTGTTGCCACAGGGAGAGAAGAGGGCTCTCTGTCTCCACAGAGCCGAGTGTGGGGGCTGGACAGTTGCGCTGGGGGGGAAGCTAGCAGAGGTTAACTTCTGTTACGCCTGCGTAAAGGTTTACTTTTGAAAATTCTGAAATGTGCCTAGACAACAGCCCTGTCACGAACGGCCCTTCAGTGCACCATCATCTTCGTCACCATGAGCCACAATCAAGGCCTCACCAAGCCGTTGCCATCTCTCACGGTCCTCAGACGTAATAATCCATCTGGCACCTGCAGACAGGCGGTCGTCCTCTACAGGGACCGCCCCCTCATATCGCTGCCACTCCGTCGTTAGCCTTAACCTGCTGGCTGACATCCCTTCGAGCGACGTCTCCTTCCCAAGCCCACGAGCTCGTTTCCAATGGTCAATGCGGTGATGTATTTCTAACGTGCATTTCTTCACTAATTCATGCGTTCCTCTTTCTGTCTCAATGAATTCGCCGTAATGATTTTACTACGCTCCTCCAGCGGAAAGCTTTTCCACGAGACAATTGGACTGGGCTGTAAGCAGCTGTGCTGGAGCATGCTGCCAGGGCCCGGCCAAACGCTATTAAAACGGCGCGTCCCTTTGAAGTGAGGCCCTGGGTTCTCTGTGGACGAGGGCGTGTTTCATTCTTTCCGGCTGTGCACTTTGATGCTTGTACGAGGACGACAAAGCTACGCCGAGAATGCAAGGGAGGAAAATGTGAAGTACTGTATTCATTGTTTTACCGCTCGCCTATACCTATCGTGATTCACTCTGGAAATTTGTTACTCTGTGCGCCAAATTACAGCAACGTGACAGAAATATGTAACGTGAAGAATTTATTCTCGACTGGAATGAAGGAAGACATTGTAAAGTAAAAAAAACGATGATCCCCGGATCTGCGAGCTGCCACTGCCCTTTGACAGTTAAGGTAAAAAAAAAATCTCAGGAAGTTCGAGAAAAAAGGGTATGGCCACGTGTGTAGGTGTCATGGTCTAATTTTACCAAACTTGATCATTAGAGTAATACCTTGGTTAACGAAGCCTCTGGGAACAGAGTTCCTTCATAGCGAAGTCAGCCGTGGAGGGCCTCTTCACCTCCATATTTTTGCTATTTTTTTACAAAATAAAAAAAATATTTCTTCAGAAATCACGGCAAGTGATTCAGACAGAGTGAAATCTTAAATGCTGCACGTGCCCTGTCAACGTGACCGAGTGGAGTTTGTTTA